GTAGGGCACTGCACTTGAGTGATGCTCTGGTACAGTGGTTACTTGCTTGCTGTTTAGAAAGTCCAAAGGTCAATTCCTGGTCAAACCAAAACCTTTAATTTTTTTATACTCATCCGAATGTAGAAACTATATTCGCATTTCTGTTATTTTTATATATCATATATATTAATGTGATTGAGGCCACAGGACCAGATAACATCTGTCCCAGAGTTCTGAGGGCCTGTGCTGATCAGCTGAGCGGAGTGCTCCAGCGACTGTTCAACCTGAGCCTGCGGTTGGAGAGAGTCCCGGTGCTCTGGAAGACATCATGCCTGGTCCCGGTACCAAAGAAAGGGCACCCCTCTGTCCTCAACAACTACAGACCAGTTGCACTGACTTCTCACGTCATGAAGACACTGGAGAGGCTGGTCTTATCCCACCTGAGACCCCTGGTCAGCTCATCACTGGACACCCTACAGTTCGCCTACCAGCCCAGTGTTGGTGTGGAGGATGCGATCATCTACATGCTGCAAAGGGCCTACTCACACCTGGACAGGGCTGGCAACACTGTAAGGATCATGTTTTACGACTTCTCCAGTGCCTTCAATACCATCCAGCCCTTACTTCTAAGGAGTAAGCTGGAAGAGCTGCAAGTCGATGTCTCCATGACCTCGTGGATCACTGACTACCTGACTGGCAGACCACAGTCTGTGAGACTTCAGAACTGTGTGTCTGAACAGGTAGTGAGCAACACAGGGCACCTCAAGGGACAGTTCTTTCTCCATTCCTCTTTACCCTCTATACTTCGGACTTTAAGTACAACTCAAAGTCATGCCACCTGCAGAAGTTCTCAGATGACTCTGCAATTGTGGGATGTATCAAGGGTGAGCAGGAGGAGGAGTACAGAGGACTGGTCAGCAGCTTTGTGGAGTGGTGTGGGGTGAACCACTTGGAACTGAATGTAACAAAGACAAAGGAACTGGTGGTAGATTTCAGGAGGAAAAAGGTCAAACCTACTCCTGTCTACATCCATGGGAGTGGCGTGGAGATGGTGGACACGTACAAGTACCTAGGAGTGCACATCGACGATAGACTGGAATGGTCTAAGAACATCGAGGCCATCTATAAGAAGGGACAGAGCCAACTTTACTTCTTGAGGAGGCTCAGGTCCTTCAATGTATGTAGTAAGATGCTACATATGTTCTATCAGTCGGTGGTAGCGAGCGCCATTTTCTACGCATTGGTATGCTGGGGCCCTGGGATTAGAGCAGTGGATACTAAAAGGCTGAACGAGCTCATCAGGAGAGCATTATGTTTATTAGTTGTTTTTGAAATTGTTTGACTTCATCAGAGTTGTTAGAAACAGTTGTTAAAAATACACTAGAACAACAACAAAAAATTGTGATTCATAGCACATATTTCAGCTTAACATTTCTGAACATGTAGGGAATGTTTCAGGAATGGTGGTGCATTTTGTCCTCTCAGAAGTGGGAGGGAAGCTGGGTGTGTGCTTTTATTTTCACTCTCCATCAATTCACATTCCCAATAGTCACTGATGCAGTTTTAGTTTAGGAACTCCAACTCCCATGAACCCCACAGGATAACATTCTAGCAGCATCTGCATCTCCTGGTTACTAATGCACCTTACCGTAAAGCAAATTACAGTACACAACAACTACATTCAAATTACTATTCAAAAGTTTTGTTTGGCCTTTTAAATATGAAGATTCTAAAGTCAGGTATAAGAAGGTTTATTAACTATGGAAAGTATTCTTTTTCTGTTTCAGCTGAATGAGACAAAAAGAATGTAAAATATTGGAGTTTAATAAGCAAACACATGGGACTAAAACATTTTGCATTAAAAGACCAAAACAAACCTAATGTCACAGTTGGTGTGGGAATTGTTGGGTTTTTAGAATTTTCCTGAGAGGAAAGTCAAACAGAATTATTTAACACATTATTTTCCACAAACCCATCTACTAGCAATAGCTGCTTGTAAGAGCAAGGTAACTTTCAGCTCAACAAAATAAGTTATAATACACTCAGGCAGACACATTTTTCAAGCAAAATTAGCTGTTTATGTTTGTCATAATCAGCTACTTTGCAAGCAATACACAACTTCTCAAAAAGTACCCCTATCTCTAGTGCAAACTCAGCGAAGGTTTCATTTTAAAATAATTTTGAAACCTCTGACGTTGTGCCCCAGGATATAATAGCACAATCAAAACAAAACTCCCGCTGGGCACACCATGATCTCACCTGCAGGTGTGAAATGCAGTATGGTTAAAAACTTCTGTTTAAAAGGTTGCAAACAGTACTTGTCTTCTCAAAAAGTAATCCCTTCTCTCGTGTAAATTTAACAAAGGTTTGATTTTTTAATAATTTTGAAACCTTTGATGATATGCTTAATGGATTAATTCAGTATTCAGTATTCAGTATAGTATAATCAAAACAAAATATTGTTACCTACTGTACAGTACCAGTGATGTAGAGATTGGAGTTACTCACAGATTCAGTCTTTGCATTTTCACATTGAAAAATGTGAAATGTGAACACATATACATGTGTTTGTTGATGTTGTGGTTTTACAATAAATCGAATATGAATTTTTATTTATTCATGGTAAAGTTTCTTACATATTGTTAAGTCACACTGTTAGACTGAGGAAAAAAATCATCCATAGAACAGCTTTCTGCCAAGCAAGATTTTTTAAGTTAGTGTTTTCTTATAACTCGCAGTGGCAGAACAAAGACAAAGAACAAAGACAACAATTCCCAACATGACACACACGAGAATCACATGAAGTCATATCCACTGATACAATATACAGGAACAGTACCATTCATTTTGATGAACTGCAATGTGATTGGCATACTGTGTAAATATACTGTATATAAAGTATGATACTATTTGGTTTTAAAGCCACACTATGTGTGAAATATATTTTAATAATCAAAATCTATAGAAAAATTGTTCCCTAATTACTTGTTGCTGACATTTTACAGAGGTTTTTCAATCAGGCTGACCCTCCCAATCTCAATAAGGCAATTAAACAGACAATTTAACTCTCTCCCATGTTTATTCATTCTCTCACTAAGAGGTCAGTGCTAAGCTTTGCAGTACTGAAATGTTCATCTGACAAACACCTTGTTCTTTTCCTAGATTTACGCGTAATGAATCAGCTGGGCCATTCAGCCCTCACTCTTTATTTTGTCTCATATAGTGACAGGGACACTATACTGTAAAAAGGTGCCATCCTTCAGATGAAACGTAAAACTGAGGTCCTGACTATCTGTCATTAAAAATCCAAGGGCGTTTCTTGAAAAGATTAGGGGTGTCACTATGGCTTCCTGGCCACATTTCCCATTGGTGTTACCAATCAAGGCCTCCTAATTAAACCCATCTATGAATTGGCTTCACAGGTGAATATAAATAGATTAATCACTCTGAATTTTCACATGTGCATGTTGTCCCTCCCTTAGCACTATTGATGGTATTTTTGAGGTTTAAGCTAGACTTCATAAATGCTTTTTCAAATCAAAATTCTCTCAGGGAATAAACCAATTAAGATTACAATACATATTAAAAGAAGTCTAATTCCCCCTCTTTTGGAAATATATTGAGATTATAGAACAAATCACTGAAATTCAAACCCTTTAAGTCTGAACAGTTAGATCAATATACAACCATCACCAGTCTCGGTGCATGGAAAAATGAATCAATGCCTGAGGATGTGTTTCTGTATCTCAGCGAGACTTACAGTCAAGTGAGAGGAAATAAATAATCATAGTTCTGTGAATTGCAGGCACTGGCCACTGTCAGATTGTACTGTAAGAGGCACAATGTCATGTACAAAATGATATTCAAGCTGCAGTTTGATACACTCTCTGTGTTCAGAATTTTAAATGTGCAATAAGGAAAAAACATGCTGAACCTAATTGAAACAACAGCAACAAGAAAGAATAGGCACTGTATCTTAAAGGCTGAAGATGGGGTAAAAAGAGACTATAGCCATGTTTCTTAGAGTAACTGAGCGACAGCTTGAGTTAGAGTACTCATGTACTATCTGCTCGGAGGACTACTCCAGGACTGGACCCAGCTTTGCCCTAAACCGTAGAGTAGGTGTAACATCCTTGCTGGACACTACTCAGCCACCAGCAGAGAATCCAAGGCCATGCTCATTAGTGTCTAATCCTGAAGTGTCCCTCTCTAATTCTTGCTTGTGGGTTATTCCCCGACTGGTGAAAACTCCTCATAGACCAACTGACAAACTAATAATGTTGTTATTAACCAACTCCTTGAAAGTTAAGACAGAAAAGAAACCCTAGTCTGTTCTCAGTAGACCCATTAGTAGCAGTGTAAACCTTCTCATGATTGATATACTTTGGCCAGGTCCACTCAACTGTCTTCATTACCTTACCAGCAGACCTGACATACAGTAGCAACAACTGAGTCTACTACTATTTTACAAGTTCACATTAGAGTATTCTATATTTCCTTGGCTGCTGTCTCTTTAATTCTAGGAGACCTGAGCTCTTTAACAGGTATGAGCTCATTTGCAGGGAGCCAGCCTCCTTCTCCTCCTACCTTTGACCACTGCCTCTACTCAGAACTGCTCTGAATAGAGAACCCAATGAATCACCTATCTTTAAACTACCCTATTATTGTAGCAGAGATGTGAGTAGGTTTCCCTAAAAAGTAGCCAGATAGTTACATACTGACTTTTCCTCTCTAACTTAGGTTCTTTGATGTCCCCACTACTGTTTCCATGCCTTTCTTATATCAGTGGGAAGAGGAAACTGTAGCTGTAGGTACATTTGCAGTTGTGAATCTTTCTTTTAATTTCTGTTGCGTAAATGCATTTTGTGCACCTTACCCACATTTTCTCATTCTTACTAATAATCCTATGGATTATTACTTCCTCCAAACCACTGCAAGGTTCATTTTTTACCTGACAAATGTGTGTTTGTTATCATTCCCTTGCTATCCTCATTACCTGGTTACAGAGTTTAAACTTATACCTTTTGAAATGTCCCTTTTGATCAGGCTGTCATCTTGGTCTCTCATTTGTTGACTGGGAGGAATGATTGGTGGACTGAAAACATTCAGCCAGTCTCTGCAAAACAAATAAAAGTGATTTAAAGATGCAGTTGTGCAAATTGAAATCATAGCCCACATTAAACATATTATAAACAACAAAAGCAAACTCCTGCATTGATTGCAATAGAGTTCCCTTAAAATAGGTTTTTCATCCTTCATCACTTCCAAGGTCTGTTTGGCTATTTTGTTAAAAATAGTATTGCTGGTTCAGCACAACAGCTCCCTTTTTCATATGACATTGTGATTATTTTCTCAAGTGTATCTGTATTGTTCCCTCCAAATCATATTTCTGCCTGTAGAATTAAATTAAACAGCCCAGAATCACAAACAGATGGCATTTCTATATCTATAGCTGCAGCATTGTAGTTTGATTATTATATTCTGTTATTTGGCTTGGCTTTTCACAAATTATTCCTGAATAACAACAATGCACGCATAAGTGTTTCAATAACCTATAGCTGTTTTTCTCAAGTAAGGTCAAATCACATCTGTATAGAGTTTAAAAACTACCCAGCTTCTGGGTTTTTTGAATGCAGATAAAAGATAAATACAAACAGGCTTTTAAACAACACAACATAACAAAATATTCAAAATAAGAACATTTAGACGTTCCTCCTAAACAGCATAAACAGTCATACAGAGACATCTATAAAATAAAATTAAGAAATAGGTTTTATGAACTTTTATTCCAAGTTAAAATCTCCAAATAACATTAATCTGTTTTAAATGTTCTGAAAATAATATTCTGATTACAGAAAACTTTCACCCATTGTAACAGAGCAGCGATTCGTCACTTCATTTTGTGCAATGCCAAACCAGTGATTTATGGTTGTTCTGTTAGCTGAATTAAATTATGTGGCAATTTGGCTGACCTGAAACTATTTTTTTACAGTGCTGTTGTTATTCAGCTCTGGGGAGGCTGACCTGAAATCTCTAACAATCTCCCAGATCCTGCACACTCTAGGACCAAACAACCAGCCTTTGATGACACCTAGAACTTAGGATTTACAGGGATTTGTACTGCTACTATATCTCTACTCTTCCGTAGAGCTACCTTTCTGTTACCCTAATTGTAACTTACACACTCGAGTTTACTATTGAACGTTACAAGCAAGAATTACTACCATAATTTACTTACTTCACCTGTGAGGACAGAGAATTTAATAATTGTATTCCATTCTACAATGGGTTATATTCGATTCTGGCTTAACATGTACAGCATACTGTCAAAACATATTTTTTTCACCTTAGAAATACAGTGCCTTGCGAAAGTATTCGGCCCCCTTGAACTTTTCAACCTTTTGCCACATTTCAGGCTTCAAACATAAAGATATCATTTTTTTATTTTATG